CCCAACAACACATCAGATGCATTTCTATTCACAGCCTTCTGGAAGTTTTGACATTTGTGTATTTTAAACCTTTGACACAACACAAACTGGGCTTGCATGAATTCGTCTCAAGCAACAGTCTTCTTATGAATTCTTTCGTGCTTCTGAAGGTTTAATTGACAAAGTCTGTCTAGCTTCACGGATCTTTTGACGACTTGTCCATTGGACAGGTAGAACTGACAACGAGTTGATGGGTGTTTCCATTATGAACGTCTTTCCGAAAACCAGTTGTCAACTGTGGAATGCAATTCGCCATGGTTCGTGCGAACTTATATTAAGTGTTCTGCTTTACCTCAGGCAGATTGCTTTTGAAGAGAAAAGTCGTAAAACGAAAACGCATAGCAAAATAAATACTATATTTCTACTGAGTTGGATGTCAAATCAGATTGAACAGTCCTTTCATCAAGCAAGTTTTTGCAACGACTCTGTTCGGAAACGTGTATCGCAACACGCACCAAACTGAGTGTACCTGTTCGTTCGACTAGTACTGACACTTTCGATCATTGTAATTGTTTTTAATTTATCCCATCTACACATCCACGGTCGAGTGATTCTTCCATCATGTTCACTGAGGCGAAGAAGCGTGTTTCGAGAACCAGTCTAGCCATTTTAAAGTATGTTGTGACAAGGCAGAATCCCTGAGCTAACTTGAGTATACCTAAAGTTAGAAGTACGTTTTTCGATGACTCGTATCTTTAATCTTTCGAGTTCACTCAAAGGTGAGAATCTCCATGTAAGCATGTGAAAAACGCCTCTACTGGTCCAGTCTGGGAACAGGGACCGATCAGATTCATATTAAACAAATATATTTGGTAATTGTTCAATTTTCGCGCCGACATCTTAAGCAGTTCACCGGGAAATATATGCCGACTACATCTTTAAACTTCCTGACGATGGACGGTGAGTTACATGTAGCTTGCGATATTTATTAATTATTTTCTGATGATTTGGCCTCTTCGGTAATTCTCAACTAATATTAGTGTGAATCAACGTGATCCAGAATCTGTAGTCTCCACGTGTTCCCCTAAAAATTAACACTTTATTACGAGGCAAGCATCCAAAGCACAAACATGGCCTGATGCGTGTGAAAACCAGAATAAAAGGGAGGAAAACCCGTTAACGATAGCAGACGGGGGGAAAAGTAACTCACAGACTTACGACTCTGGATGTCCAGTTGCAGATAGGAGTAACCTCGACAATGATGCTTTTAACGGTAAAGTCGCATGTAGCCGGATGGGTTTGGAAAGGTTTTATGGCACTTTGAGCCAAAGTGAAAATTCAGACTGGATTACTAGCATTCCGCGCCTTAGTCGACTCCAAAGTTTAGGATAGGGCCTCGATAGTGTCCTTTACAATCCAGGTGGGGCCTAGGTGATTCCTAAGCTGCCGGTCAGAGAAACCCCAGGCCTAACGGTCTAGGCAATTATGAAAACAAGTTACCGGGTGTCAAAGTGATTTTACAGTCCAAAACAGACTTCTATTTAGCACGGCGGAAAACCACGTATAACAGAATTATCATCGGGATATTGTATAGAAATTCCTTCTTAGGACTAAGCTGAGAGACAATGTAGGGCTCTTCTATTCTCATTTGGAATCCTGCCCATCGCGCATCACACGAAAGTCAGAGATTTTTGGAATTCACGAACCGCCGGTTGATAGTTTCAACTCAACCGCTTGCCTACAAGTAGCTGAAACAGCAGTGTGATTGGACACTCTTAAACAGGATATGGGGCCAATGATCCTGCATTTACAGAATTTGCGTCACCCATCACTGTTGCCGAGTTTGATGATTCCTGAGATAAAACTTCCAGTCATTTTGTACAAATACACTTATTCCGAACATCCCATTGATTTTGGGGATTTGTTTGAGTCTGGCTGTTTTGGTGTCATTTGTTTCAGCTCTGATCTACAACCTTAGTAATAGAATCTGGTCATTTTTAAATAGCAATAGTGTAACGCCAAACGTTGCACTTGTTCGTAATTTTAAGCTCTTGAAACCAAACAGCAAATGTTAATGTTTCATTGGAAGGACAAACTAGCTACGAAAATTTGTTCAAAGCTAGCCACAGTTAGCCTTTTGTCGCTACTTTGAGTGCCGTCCAACGAGTGTACCGGCATCAGGGACATATATCAATTCAGTAGTATTTCTACTGATAGATGTTTGGTCGTGTAAGAAGTTTTGCGTTTAAAAGTAATGCACTACTCATAAGTTTGCTGAAAATTCTTCAACAGTCCATGACCAGTTTCGCCCCTCTTCCACGTGAGTCACTCAAACATTTGTTTGCAAATGAGTGCGTCTCGCTAAGTTTGTGCAATATGGTTTCAGGTAAACATAAGGTTGACAGAACTTCGGGGGCTGCACCTACCTGATAGGTGTAGGCTGTCGACGAGTTTTCAGCAACCTTATGAGTAGTGCATTACGTCTATACATGTATTGCGATTTCTGGAATATTCCACAAACTAAAACATAAGGTGGCCCAATGCAGTACATTCAGCCACATAGAAATACGTTAAACGAGAGATCCAGCTGGATCCCAGGTGAGTCTCTCACAAAACCAAATTTGTTCGCAAATGAGTGTATTTCGTTAAGTTTTGCGCTTAATGAATTTTCTCCTCGCGTAACAAGCTCACTGCTTAAAATGTCTGTTTGTTTGTAGTTGACTCAAGTTCAATGATCTCTGTGATCTGGCAGCTAAGGAAAGCAACACATTTGCACACATTCTTTTATTCGGTAGTAATTATGCGCACCGTTAAGTGACCTAGTTTGAAGGATAACATATTGACTTGGATAAAATTTATACAAATTGGAACGAAAAAGTCTTTTCAGTCTGTTTTCTTTCTCCATTTTTTTGCAGAATCGAACGACACTACATACTTACCAATGCCCCGGTCACTTGTGTCTTGTCGCTTCCAAGTTTCAAGACGAAACCTTTTTAAACGCTACTCTAGCTTGGCAAGGTTTTCCTAAAGGTGAAGGGTTAAATGTCACAAAACGGGAAAAAAGTTTTTAGAGATGATGGCGGAACCGCCCCTTTCTCGACTGCTTGTCTAACTGAAGCAAAAAACTGCATAGTCTTATGCGCGGCGAGCCGTGGCTTAGTAGTCGTTCCGCAATTATTACTGCTGAAATAATTTCATTGTCAGAGTAATTATTACTGCTGAAAGAATTTCATTGTCAACATGATCAAGTCAGAACTTCCGGAATCACAAGCCTGCGTTTAAGGCACTGCGCAAGCCAGTGTACGTTGGAGTGTTTTTCATAAACGGGTGTGAACTGGGTATAGAACAACATTTTGTAGGACATGATAATCGGCTTGATAAACGTTCCATGAAGAGCGACAAAACGATTAGCCTCTCTGTGTGATTCACGTTCACACATTTACGGGGTTTCAAGCCTGAACTTAGTAGTGTTCCGCATGTGTTTGATAGTTCTAAAATATTACTGAAGTATACTGAAGGATACTAGACATAGGAACACAAACATCGATTCAATGGTCAACACTGGCAGTGACCACCTCCACTCGATCTCGACAACACTGAAAGAAATAAAGCCGGCGAAGTTTAGTGTAACTTACTTCCTGCCTATTGTTCATTTTACATTTCATTACTGTTATATCATTTATTTCATTCCTTGGTCCGTTAGAAAAATACCTTTATTAAATTTCGCTGTACGAAAAGATCTATAAAATTTAACGGTGGTTCGTCCAGCGAGTAAAGATTTTCGACACAGGAAACAGTTCAGGGGTTTCCCGGAGTATAAATCACCAGAAGTGCGCACCCTATGAAATTCCGGTGAGTTTCCAGCCCACCACCTCCCGACTAGTGATTCAACCCTTAACCTTCCAGCTAAGAGGGGTGGATCACCAGTTGTTCATCTTTCAGCCAGAAAATTCAAATGTGAATCTACCTGTTAGACGGCTACTGAAATAAAGAATACCCATTTCGGAGGTAAACATAACGTTTGGATCAGTCCTCATTGTGAGCCGTTTTCCGTCTTGCTCTAAATATCAGTACGCCAGACAATTTTATTCACGATTCGGTCCTGCATTTAAAATTGATTTAAGTCAATAAGCAAAGAAGAAGAATTGTACAAATGTTTCAGCTGCAGTGGGAATAATCATCCTTGTTCACTTGAGCGCGATGCTGATTGGATGATGTTCGTCGACCGCTTCTGTTTCTAAACGCTAGCAAGGAGTTCGCGGGTTTGGAACTGCCTGATAGCTTTCAATAAGGACGAAAAGGTCATAAAGTGCTTTCCAGCTCCGCGCCATAGGTTGACATCATCTGTTAGACCAAACTGCGCGTCAACTATCAATCTAAGTCATAAAGGGGAATCTAAATACATCGTAGGCGATCGAGCTAAAGCCAATCACTCATTTGTTGTGTACAAAATGGGAATTTTGAGAAATCCCACTTGAAACAACGTATCCAATATTATGCGGGTACCTGCTAGATTTAAACCTAATTTGAAAGTAAAAATTTAACTCGATTTTTCACGCGCTTCTTGGAGTAAACCGAAATTACTGGGGTTTAAATAAGTGAACAGAACGAACTCGTGACGTTTGCGTGGCGAGCGTTGGATTGTGCTTATGGGTCCACGGGGAATTTAGTTGTTTTGCTATATGACCTAAAAGTCGTTTACTTCACTAGGTTTGACAATATACTATCCTCATGTTCCTTGTTCCAACATTAGCACATGTGGACGTAGACTAGAGTCCCCAACAACGAAGGTTTCAGAATAAAGACAGGATGATGTCATCTTCAATCAGGTACATTAAAATATTGCTTATCAATCGAACACTGACATACTTCGATGGTTACTACTCATTGATGTCCTACGCCGTACCTTTCAGGTTTGCACTGAGCCAAATATGAAACATCTCCCTACAGTCAATGCGGTGTCTACACATATTTTCGTATGTGAAACCCTGAAAAAGTCACCGACGGACAATGAACTCACCTGTGACATAAACCCATCTGCTGAGTTCGGCGTTTTCGCTCGATCCAATACAAGAATAATTGCCGGAGTCACTCAGTTGCACATTTCTCACCCTTAGTTGGGAACGTTTTCTGTAAACACATGCAAATAAATTAAAGCAGGTGAGTATAAATAGCTCAGCGATGAAAAAAATGTACATATTACTATCTGCGAGAGCATCAAGTCCAAGAATAGTTGCATGCAACAGTCTTTGGTTTCTACAAATACTGCACATTTATTTTTGCGGCGTGTTTGATACTTTTCAGGGGTCGAGTTGGATAATATGATTTCAGAAAAAGACAACCATAGAGTACAGTTGTAAGGTTCACAATGATTGATTATATTGCAGTCTTTTTCGTTTATTGATAATAAGATAAAAATAGTAACTAAAAAATAATAATATCGATATCGTCTCATAGCTGAGGATTCCTTTGCTACTGTCGACGAAGTGAAGGTCTCTGTTGCGAACTTGCTAATTAATCATGTAGGCCTTTCAGCTTCACTAAATTCAAACTATTCACAATCCTGGAAACATCAAAACCGAGAGATTCAGTCGGATTCCAGGTGAGTCTCTCTCAGAACCAAATTAGTTTTCGAATCAGTGTATTTCGCTAACTGCGTGCAATTTGGTTTCAAACAGAACAAACGGTTGACGGAAACTCGACTACTGCACCTACCTGATGAGCCCCAAGTAGGGTAAAACCGGTCGGGGGCTGTCGAGAAGTTTGCAGCAACCTTATGAGTAGCGTATAACGAATATTCATGATCCAATTTACAATGCTAAAATTCATGAGAACATTCCTTCTGGTTAGTTCTTGCCCTTACGCAAAACCTTGTCTGAAAAATTATATTGCTAACGTTCATTTGTTTGTAAATACTTTATCAACCTCTAAAAACAATACCTTTGAATTGTTTTTTAAGGAAATGATGAGCACAAACAAACGATATTTTTCTATAGTGGGTAATTTTCTATCTGCCTGGAAGTACAGAAAAAATGGTATCCAATGATCCCCTGAAAACCTGTTCATGAATAAAGTCGTCTGACCACAGTTGACGTTTTTAATACAGAATGTTATAACACTCAGTTCTACTTCAGAATCTACCCAAAATGTTTTTAACGATTTTTTCAGTTAATGTTTGACACAGTAAATACTGACCAATGCCTATTTTTTCCGGTGTTTCAGTAGTAAAAATGCTTCCAAGGAATAACATCTGTGGCCGAAATGTGAGTCTTCGTGGAACTCGCAATATGATTTGCTCTGCTGCACATTGGGCGTCTACTCGAAGTTTGAAGAAGGTATTCAACCGTATCCTTCATTATCCGGAAAATATAAGAGGTACGATTGAACGTATGAACTTGTTAAGCAGTGTGCCACAACAACCGCCGTAGTTTAGTGGAACTGTGCGAACTGCTAGCAACTGGTGCCAGGCATTCACAATGTGTAGCAATGTTGAAAAGTCGCTTTTACTCTTTGGAACCATGTGCGATTTAGCAGTGGTATTAGACATCAATCATTATTCTTTATATTGTACGTAACTTCTTGATGGGGTCTGATGTGGTCGTGCTAAGGCGGTTAGATAACAATTAGGTGAATGACAGCCGGGATCCAATTTTGCGGCCAACCAGGACAGTTACTGGGTTGTTGTCAGATGAGTCAGGCACACCAATCACAGCGCTCAAGTATGAACGCGTTCGCCTGTTCAGACGTGATAATTCAGATGCGTCCAACGTGCGTTGGTGGAGTAGTGTTTACACGCTCGCCTCGCATATCAGATGTCCGGGGTTCGAATCCCGGCACGGCCATTGGATATGCACAGCTGTGAACGCTCTAATAAGAGCGAAGTTCGAGTCCGGTGCTTCCCTTCGGTGTGGACTGACCGGAATAATTACGCCAAAACAGGAAGACGACCACTCAAACGAGAGTGGCGTGACTATTAACGAGATCACCAAGAGCTTGGTACAGTGTAAAGAACATAAATACACAAAGCTTCTCGTTATACATTGCACAAAATTTACTGCCAGGATCATTTGTCGCAGTTCACTAACGCCACTCTCACTATAGCAGTGAACAGCAACCGTGACAAAACAGTTATACGGTGATCATCCACATCTCTACATTCCCTCAGGCCGATTGCAGTTCAATGTGTCATGACACTGCCTCAGGCCGATTGCAGTTCAATGTGTCATTTAAGTTTCAAACCTATAGACAACAGTGACATGTACACTGGCCTCTTTCTATCGGCTGTGACGGAACCAGTGCTCATTTTCACATAAAGGGCAAGTTGAATTATAATATTCTTAAGTTAGTCAGCGATCAACATTGTTTCAATCAGAGTCGAGCTTTTTGAGGCTTATTAATGAGTCGGTTTGACACAACCGCTGAGCAAGTCCATCCAGCAATTCACACTCTACGGCAACAGAGGGGATAATGTATTTGTGCCACCAGAGGATGTGCCAACTGAATTCTTGAGAAAATTCAGCTCAGTAAACCGTAATGTGAAGCCTGTTCTTGAATGTGAACATAACATTTAGCTAACTTGTTCGCTTTTGCTATTCTGAAGAAATTCTTTGGCAAAATATTTGCAGGCTGTAAACTGGGACTGGTCCTTGCAGTCGGTTTGGTAGTTTTGTATCCCAGAAACAGGGTCAAAATATACTCGTGTTTACAACCTAGATACCAATAAGAATGCTGCTTTCATGCGTCACCCCAAGACGTATATGACCGCTGACGTTTGCGTTAGTTCTAACTCCACTACTAACCAGAACCTGGTTGAAAATTAGAAGCTCATCATATTTTGGGGAGGGGGGGCAGCATCGCGTTTAGGCGGCGGGATAAGTCAGTGCGTTCCAATTTCGCCCTCTAGACAGCTTGATTTAGACCGGTGTCCACAGCAGAGGTCGTCGGAATTCTACTATTAAATCTGGCTCTCTGTGCTTACGGGATACTTTTGAGTCCTCTGAACTTGCGCCAACCTGCCAGCTGCTCCCTTCCCAAAAGTGAGTCTCCTTGCGACATAAACAGTTTGAATCCCGACCCACTGACCTTTCTACACTTACCCTTGTTGAGATTTTATTTCCAGACGGACCCTACCTTTAGAATTATTGGGTATAAAGAACTAAAATTTTCATGGCACGTGGTCACAACATCTCGGATGCGTACGGACACGTTTGAATAAATGAATGAATGTTGCGATCAATAGATGCAAGACACCCATGACTAGCACCCAAGCTGGATTCCATTTCATTTCTGTTCCACCGTGATAATGTTGTATAGTGTTCAGCTTCTGGTACCGACTGATTGAGGATGCCACCAATTAGAGTGTTGGATTTCGTGAGTCAGAACACAAACGAGATGAGTGGCATGCCATCCAGCATTTGAACTAAAAGGTTATCAAATAAAACCGTATGGCGTTGGGTTTTCCTCTCCTGACAAAGTTTACACTTCACGACCACCCTGTGGGACTGTTTTGTTGAAATAAGTAGTATAGAATCAACCAAAACTTTTGCAAAATATAGTTCATCTGGTGTCTTTTATAACTTGGAATGACCTAATCTGACCGAACCTCGGCGCCTAAAACAGCGGAAAGCTGCTACGCTGGAGAACCAATATAAAACGATGATGAGTTTTTGGAGAATAGGCGCAGTTTAGAGAATTCTCGCCGGAAAATTCGATTGCGACTGCAAACGTAGCAGGATTTCCTTTCGATCTTGAAACGTTTTCCCCAAACTCTCTTAATTGCTCATCTGGCCAAGATTCTCTAACCGTGTGGCCTAGCAGCGGACATACCCCGTTGTCAGACACTTTGAATTTACTATACTATCCGGCAACCAGAATTCATTCTGCAAAGCTATGCAACATATAGCCAGTTCGTCATAATAATCTACTCAGCGTCCGAGTTTCTGATTTTCTTTAGTTCCTGAATCCCCCGTGCGCTCTACTTTGTCGCACAATACAAGTGAAACTACCAGAAAAGCACAAAACTAATAAGCGAAGAAATGGTATTCTGAAGAAGGCTAAGGCAAGTAGTGAACGTCATAGGAATAGGATTTGAATAGACAAACCAGACTGAAGATCTCCTTCGATGATAAACCCATTTTTGGATTCGGACGGAGACCAACCGTCCCGTGGTGGTGAGATTTGATTCAGTTCACGCGTTATAAATGCAACGTATTCACATATTTTTCATGACAAAAAGCATAGAATTTTAACGCTTCCATATCTACGATCGATTGGTGATTTTTACACTGGTGGAATAAACGCATGCTTATGGATCACGCAAATGAGTCATTCTGAAAGTCATTTTTTAAGGAAGCTCAAAGAACTAGATCTATTTGCTTTTCATGGAAAATCAAAGGCTACGTAAAACGAACAAATCCATCTCTCTCCTGGGATTTTTGGATATCAGTTAAAAACTGAGGACTGTGCACAACATACAGAAGGGAGTTTGTGTTTCTAAATATTTCGGGTTAACATTGAAGGATACCGCAACCGGAAGCCGATGTGCGGTCAGCGAAATTACCGGAAAATTGTGTTGTTCGTTTTGACAAACGTTCATGCTACAATTCATCAGACTGTTGCTGTTGAAGTATGGAAAAGTTTATTGATCGTAACGAGTTAATAATAATGCATACAAGTTGACGAGATAAATTCTACGGTGGGACTTTCAGTCACGTGGATGCCCAAACAATTTCAAAACGCGTTTTGGGATTTTTTGCCATTAAATTTGTTTCCAAACTATATACTGAGTTAACGATGGCTCATCCTCTGTATTGACGATCAATTTAGGGGTTAGCAAAGATCTGTTGCAAGTAACTTGAGACGTTCTCGTTTACTTTATCTTCATTCAGCATAACAATCTAAGATCGTACAAATGCATATCGAACCGAACAAGAAATCACACACTGAACAAAGTCACGTGACCAAAACCTTCAAAGTGATTTGTTCTTATCATGCCATCATACTATTCAAGAGGCAAGCATTCGTAGCATCATTGAAAATTGTATTTGATCCATCCGGAATTACTTGACAAATGAGGATACTAATTCACCAGTGGACCAGAAGCAATCCTAATTTCTAGTTATGCACTGGCGTGTAGGAAAAACTCCTCTGGCAGTGATATCTCTTCCGTGAAATGATTTACGCAAGGTTGGATTAAAAACTGGTAGACAGGCCGTAGAACTAGATTTTTGCTGCCATAAATCACTTATGTTACTAGTTGGACGCCGGTCATTACACGCAGCATTATATACTCGCGTATATACTTAAGTACACACTTACGTACTTACTTAAGTACTTACTTACTTACTTACTTGCTTACTTATTTACTTACTTGCTTACTTACTTACGCACTTACTTACGTACTTACTTAGGTGCATACGTACGTACTTGAGTGTATACTTACGTATGCACTTACATATATACTGACGTCACAATTTGTTTGCACCTGATTCCACTGGTGCAGTGACAGACCTCAGAATATAACTACAGTTGGGGCCTTTTTGACTTCAACGAGTTTGTGTGTTTGAGGTTTAACAGCCAGCCTGGAAGTCAACTTCCAGAATTTAACGGGCTCCCCGACTTAGTCGTCATTCTTATTTCCCGTCTGTGCAGTTTAAAAATTATTTTGAGGTTGGCTGACATACAAAACGGGAGCTAATTAGGGCGCTGATACATGTGTCCCGAAAAACGTGAATGCCAATTACTGACGCTATTTTTAAGTGCAAGATTCATATGAAAGGGAAACTGTAACTCGATTTGAAACAGGTAGGTTTCCTCACGAATGTAGTCTTGCTTACTGGAGAACAACTGGCAGGATTACGTCTGCCATAATGGATGTGGCCACACTTCTGGATTTCAAATCAATTAACGTTGTGTTGTTATCTGCGCCATACTGTGTTTAGCCTATGAGACTCGTGAGAGAATAGAGGACATCAACAGCTTTGAGAAATACAATCATTTGCAAATCAATTTGGTTTTTAACGGGAGACTCAATTGGATCTCTCGTTTATGATGTCATCCAACTGAATGTGCTGCACACAGGCCGCCTCATGATTCAGTTGGCACGATATTCGAGATATAGCAGTATGTTTTTATAAAGGAAACTACTCACAAGGTTGCTGAAAACTCTTCAGCATCAGTGGCTCTTTTTGCGGATGATTTTCTTTTAAGAAAATTGATTCAAGTAAGCCAACTCTCCAAAAGTCGTTATTTGATAAATCGGAAACAATTCCAATTCACACACTATGTTTACCAAAGAAGGATGCAAGGCTCATGATTGATTTCGTTGACGGACGAAAGCATGGTTAATCCACCCGTATATAATATAACACATATGTATATTGTGATGTATATTATACTGTGTAATAATGTAATGATAATGTGAAATACGGATACACATAAGCCGAGTACATCTGTACTAGTCGCTGCGCACCCAGAAGTTGCATGTTAGTAAGAGCAGAACAGGACACGAAAAATGACACTGCGAGGTGGGATTACGTTCCTACAGTCATAACAGGTCATCACAAAATGTTCTACTTCTCAATCACCGAGCAATTAACAAGCAGGGCTCATGAAAATCTCCTATCTGCCGCGGTCAGCTGGAAGACTATATCTTGTTGACCACTTCGAAAGCCCACAAAATATAAATTGTTTGCTGGATGGGTATCAAAGCCTTTAGTAAGCGCCGTTATAAATGATAGAAATAATGGGCGTTGGTCTGTTCGCTGCGCTGAACACTTTGATTGCAAACGTTCCCTTCATCAATCGGCGTGACATCGTCAGCTTTTTGGGAGCGGAGTGAAGCGTAGCGATTGATAGATGGTTGTACGCTCATTAGTGTTGCGTGTGTCCTAATATACGTGTTGATTGCCGAAGCGGACATGCCACCACTATTGCTTGTTAGGTCACTTGATCGATCTGCTATCCTGTGCCCTGATTCATGAATGACTTGATAGTTTTATCTTGGTCACCGTACTTCTCTTTCTTTAGTCAACTCTAGAGTGATCAGTGACCTTGACTTCTTTGGATTCCAGTTTGTGATCACTCTTGACTTGATCCTAATTCTTTTCCTCTTTCTTTATCCCATAACCCCACGTTCGACTCTCCGTAAGGATCCCGGGTGGGATGCTGACATTTTGCACCTGATGGCGCGTAAATTCGATCCATTTTAGTGTGTCGATGGAGTACCATTATTTCAGATCCTCAAGTGTTCCCATATACCAAGGTGAAGGACGAAGGTGACTGCATAGTGCGACACTGTGGGATGCCAAGCTCATCTACAAAAGAGGATATAGGATAGCAGCCCAGCGCATAGGACAGGCCGACCGAAAAATCAATCCTGATAGAGCTTCAGCTTCGACTGGAAGCTCATACGCGCAACACTACTCAACACACGACCACCGACCCGTCACTCGCTAACAGTGTACTGACAGTCATCTAGATTGGTGAAAGAGTGTT